ATGACTTTTTCGGGAGATATTCAATAAACAAGAGTCAACAATAGCTCGTTTGGCAACACAATATTTGCTATGGATCTTCAAATTATATTCTTAATTTTTTTTGTTTGAAGGAGTATGTCAAGATACAGAGCATGACAGAGAGTCATTTCTTTAAATTTTTTACATGTTACGGACAGTCCATGTAAAAAAAACGCCTAAAGATCAGATTATAATCTATTATAATGGCACCATTTCAATATAATTAAAATCAGATTTTTCAACATCAAAAGAAAAAATTATTTTGATTTTAATCTTTCTTAATCTATTTTAATCGATTAAAAAAATTTGACAATCAGCTTTAATGGATTAAATTTTGGTAATCGATTAAAATAGATTAAAAAAGATTAAAATCAAAATAATTTTTTCTTTTAATGCTGAAAAATCTGATTTTAATCAGATTAAAATAGAGCCATTATAATAGATTATTAATCTGAAAATAATCGATTTTAATCTAATTTTGAGTCGTTTTTTTTACATGGGAGAAAACGGATGCAAAGTTCACTATCTCGAAAAACTCAAAAAATTGCACTCTAATTATACAAATAATCTCTTATATAATATTAACGAAGTTTAATTCAAAGAAAAAACTCTGACATGTCTTGCATCTTGACATACTTCTTCAAGCAAAAAAGAGCGATTGGCTAGAATAAATCTTCTTCAAGAATTCTGGCATACACAATCAGACAAGCATAAACAGAAAAAAAACCGAAAAAGATTTCCTGCTTTTTTCTGAAAACAAGCATATTTTTCCAACAGGTGATGACAGAAATCATCAACAATTTTCACAAAAAATTAGATGCCGAACAAAAAATGATATTATTTATGAAAGAACAGGTCTCGTCCTATCCTCTCATGTATTTATCTTCATTTCGATAATTCTGACGAAAATTGACATTTCTCCAGGAAGAAGACTTAAATTTTGATGAAAACAAACATCCTGAATAAGATTCCTCCTATTCTAATGAATGTTAACTAGACATCATACTATTGCTCACTACAAAGCACAATTATGCCATTAACTCAGATGTCGAAGCGAATATGAATGCTTAAAAAGTTTCGTATATTGGTGGCATGTCATTCAGTTATCAATGACTATTCTGATAATTAAATCATATTATTTGTCATGAATCTAACGATCTGCTCTGAATAAAGAACAGATTAACTTCAATAAGATTAGACAAGTCAAATGTATATTGTAGATGTTTTTGAGTTCTTTACATACTTGCAGAATGACGTATTTTCTCATTGTCAATAAAAAGAAATAACTAGGATTTTAACTGATGATCGAATAGCATGTTTTCATGTCAAATCTGAACAATGGTACATGAACCACTTATTCAAATTATTATCAAATATGTATAAGGAAATATAAACGAAAAAAAGAGACATGTAGACTACTAAACAATAACTACTAGTAAATGTTCTAAGATCTTTTCGAGCCCATAAATCACGAACAATAGCTGAATGATCAATAGAAAAACCAATATCATTGCACTTAACTGTAATTGATTCACTAACAATATCACTTCGATTAAGTAAAACTACAGCTTGTGAACCATCTGAAAGTAGGCCAGCCTATACTTCAAGTTCTGCTTTCGAAGTTAAACATTCACCATTATGTTTACTTCGAACAGTTCCATCAATTGAATTGCTTATCTATACTCATACCATCAATTGAATTGCTTATCTATACTCATACCGTCAATTGACAAACATTGTCCATTAAACATTGATCGAATTAATCCATCTTTGGGATTATATGTCCAGTGCAAATGTTTTGGTTCAATAGTGGATGAAAATGATGAACAATTAGTAACAATTATTTAATTTGATATATTAGGAAATTGTGATGATGCCAAAGCAACTTTCTTTTCATGAATATCTAGTGGATCTTGATCAAATCGGTAGACGTTGTTCAAGATCTGTCAAGAAATCGCCGGCTATCACTCTCATATCTGCGAAGTACAAGAAAAACCATTCATTATAGGCTCATTTCTACAGCCTATGTGATTCAGTCAATATTTCTCTCTAAATAATGCTGTTGTTCGCTCCTTTGCTTGTCAAGATCTCATGAATTTATCAAGGAAGTGTTCTTCAATAGAAACCAAGTCAGTGAACTAAAACTGTATTTAAATTCTGCATAGATAATGTAGAACCATGTTCGTTTGATCGTGCGACATTTCTCGTTTTTCATGAGTTCTCTATGGATGGTTTTTCATTAAATGAATCTAACACTCATCATTCTTTGCTTATCCTTGCGACTTTCTTGAAGCTGTACTCTCAGAAAAACATTATCTGAGAAGAGCTGCCATTGATGAGTGTTCAACATAGCATCTCTGTATGATACCATACGGTCCAATGGCTATTTCATATATACTTCCAACAGAAGTACTCCTATATGATTGCCAACAGAATAGGAAACAGTTTAGATCGAGCATTTGTTGGCTGCTGGTTGTAGTTCTATCTCAAATAGAATAGCTAATTCAGCGATGTTCTTCGCTGCTGCTGATGCATAGATGTTTAGACAAAAGTTTCAAGTTAATGAAAGATACTTTCTGGAATGAGCAGGTTCCATTAGGAGCAATCGCCAGAGTGCAAATGTAATATTGACATACAATCCACACAGTACAAACATTTGTGAATGAGTCTCATTCCCAATCGTCATGACATTCAGTCAAAAAGTAGTTTCTCATCACATATTATAGTCCATGAATAACTTATGGAACCACTATCGGTACTCAAGACCTTACTACAGAGTTTGTCTAATATCAGATAGAAATTTAATTTTCAATTAACCAATTTGTTTCTTCGATGGATGTACATTTTCACAGAGGATTATATGAGTAATGAGCTGTAAAAGATGTAAAAACCAACTAGGAAATAGTTTTGTAGCTTCAAGAGAGAAGAATTTCGTCGCAAAAGGTCTCCAGTTACTGAATGATAATTTATGAGAATGTCTGTTATGTTAGCTTTAAAAGTCTACAAATTTCTAGACGAATAGTTTTCAAATAGGCCTTTCTAACAAGAAAACAATGTTATTTTTCTATCCTCTATTATTAAAACACGACACAAAAAGTGAACATCATGGGAATGCGAATTCGATTTTTTGTTCATGCGTCACGATCCTCTTTTTATTATGCTATCCCCTCCCATCGAATTCGTTGAAAGCGTTAAACCATAGAGAACTAACTAAGTCATATATCTGATGACAAAATTTTGTTCTCATATGGTTTTTTTTAATTATAAGATAATCCAGACGATTTGTTAAAATTTGTTGTTTATGTCACGTTTCTTCAGACCATTATCATAAAGTTTACATCGCATCAAAATAATTTTCAGTCACAATTTATAACAGTAATGAAGTAAAAAGTCATTTGATGAATAGTTTAGTGTTTATAATTGGCTTAATTAAATAAAATTGCTAAATATATATTTCAAAACACAAGAATGAAATGTTTAGCGAAAATTTTAATGGGTTTTCGATATTAACGATGTGACTTGTCCTTCAGTTTGTTGTTCATCGATTAGTCGTCTGTTTAAAAATCTTTTTTTTTTAAACATAGAATTGTATTATGCCTTAAATAATTAACAAAAACAAAAATGGAAAGACGATTGTCCCTTTTCCGTTGACGATTTAATAAAATCAATTTTTTTTTATTCTATTTAAGACATTTTCCGCATTGATCTATACCGAGAAAGATATATGAATAATACCTTATGAAAATTGTCGTATTCCGTTATCTGAATTCGACTTTGTAAGTGAAAGAATTTCTTATTCGAAACTGAATAATAACTGTACATTTGGATTGTATCTTTTTACAACAAACAAATAGTTAAATTTCTTCAAGATAACAGATAGAACAACGTTTCAGCAATGTTCATTTTTATTCTGAGAATAGTAAACATTGAGACAACGAGTTATTTTTAGTTTCTAACTTCTTCTAATAATTCCCTAATGATCGCATGTCTGTTGATGGAACTACGTCGTTATATTACGCATTGGAGACTATAGTTCAAAGGAGCATTTGAAATAATTATCATTTAGTTTATACCAAACAGATGAATTTACGACTACAACTTAATCAGACACTATATGCTGTCAACTGCACCTCACGAATAGTCAGATTTTTTTGTCCTGAATTACTTTAATTAATCTCGTTTGCTTTATTGACATAAAAAACTGGCACACTTTAGAATAAGTAATAGAAGAAATGACAGAAGCATATAAGTGATAGTCTTTGCTGTTGCTGTTAGAAAGACGTATGTTTTACAACTAGCAGTAATTCACATATTAACTTCACTTTTTTTAAAGCCCAATAAGCATTTGATTAGATATGACATCCATGTTAGCTGTGTCACTTACTGTCGCTGAACAAATCGTTATTAAATATATAGTATTAGGTGTGTTTGTGCTTGGTACAATTGGTTCTCTGATGAATATTGTACTCTTCTCTCGAAGCCGATTACGTTCAAATACTTGTTGTACATGTAAGTAATCTAAAAAACCTTATTTTTTTTCCATAATGAATTGTATTAAGCGTTAATAACAGAAATGATGTTTGTTCACAGATTTTCTTGCATCATCATTTGCCGCACTTATATTACTTTCAATGGGTATGATACCATTAATTTATGCTGAATTCAATTCTTTTCGTGCACACTTATCCATCAATGCTTTCTGTAAGATTCGTAGCTATATAAATCAATCGAGTGCCATGTCATGTCGATGGTTGTTAGTTATGGCATGTGTCGATCGTTCTGTTGCATGTTCGGAAAATATTAATATACGCTATTTTCTCACTATTAATATGACTCGCCGAATAGCAGCTTTCATTATCATCATTTGGATGGTATTGCCTATTCATATATTGATTTTTCTCAATATTGTACCACCGGGCAATATTGCATGCACCATAACAAACGGTAACGTAGCTCTTTATCATAGTGTTTACACAATTATTATGGGTGGTACATTACCACCTATAGTTATGTTTATATGTGCTTTATTCATTTGGAAATGTCTCAAAAGAAAAAATCAACGTAGAAAGATAAGTAATATGGTTAAATCAAAACAACAAAAAAATATTCGTGATCAACAAGTGTTAATCATATTATTGGCACAAGTAATTATCTTTATTGTTTCTACAATTCCATTCATGTCGAATAATCTATATAAAACATTAACTCGCAACATATTGGATAAATCTATCGATCGTCAAGCAATTGAGAATTTTTTACAAGTAATCACTGAATTGTTTGTTTATATATTTCCAGCTTCATCATTTTACTTAAATACATTAGTATCGCGCACATTTCGAAGAAAATTTATTATCATGTTTAAACGCTTTATTATTACATGTTGTCGTCGAAAACAAAATCGTATTAGTCCAATTGCTCAAGCTCGAACGAATGGTACAATCCAAGAAATACCAATGGCAATACCTAGAAAAGTTCAAATATCAACTCGTAGTGATCTTAATAAGTCTATCCATGAAGGAGAACAGAACACTGCGTAACTTCAAAGAAAAAAAAAAACTTTATTCTATTTCAGTAGAAACTTTATGTTTATTTGTATTTTATTGATGGAATATTTCAATAATTTCTCTGATTATTTAGATGTTTATCACCAAATTTTAAATAAAATAACTTTAAACAAGACAACCATTCACTAATGTTCGCGTCAGAATTAAAGAAGGATGGGTGTAAGCGCAATAACGCAATAATGGCAACAGTTAGCGACCTGCAGTTTTCACAAATTGAAAGAGGAGAGATCAGGATATATTTTCTCTCGATAATGTATAAGACGAAATCTTTTTAAAACTGATTATCTTCAAAAAAGATTGCAAAATAAAGCATGAAATGGCTTGTCATCTAGATGAAATTTTGATTTTGACCTTTGATTTAGATAGAAGGACTTTAGATCTATAATAGTTCAAGATACAATATGCTTTGTTACATTTCATTACATTTTCATCGAGATATCAAGCTATTATCATAAAAAGTTCGAAAACCTAGTAAAAAATCAGCGAAATTTCGTATTATTTGCGCATGTAAATACATGATTCCATTTGCTAAACGTTAGAATGTAATAAGAAAACCATTTATATTGTATCTTGAACTATTATAGATCCGAAGTCCTTCTATCTAAATCAATGGTCAAAATCAAAATTTCATCCAGATGACAAGTCATTTTCATGCTTTATTTTGCATGTTTTTTGAAGATGATCAATTTTAAAAGGATTTCGTCTTATACATTATCGAGAGAAAATATATTCCGACATCTCCACTTTCAATTGGTGAAAACTACAGGTCGCTAGCTGTTGTCAGTATCCAGTTATTGCGATTACATCCACCCATCTTTAATTCTAGCACGAACATTAGTTAGCTATAAAATATTGTAGTCACTTGAATTTTTAAATTCTGATATATACATTTTTCAAAAATGCAGATACCAAAAAATTCAAATCTTATTTTGTGCATGAATGATGAACGAAAAAATTTATTTAATGAAACATTTAATCATGAAAGATCTGATGGTATGAGATTTCGATATACTTTTTATTAAAAACTAATGACTATGAGAATTATAATAATATAATCTTCGAAAACATGTGTTTTACCATTGCTTACAATAACTACTACATAGTTGTACTAATTTTGCTGTATACTAAAAATCCGATCAGTGGAAAAAAAATGATGATTTCAAGTGTGAATCAGGCGCTCGAATTGAAAATACATTTTCACTATCATGACAAATATTAAAATATTCCAGAGTTTACAGAGATATTCGCCATTTAAATCTATATGTTCACATTAGGTCAGTAGAAAAATGATCGTAGAAAAAAAGATGAATGTCTCATTCAAAGGATTTTTTTAACATTCATTATAAAATTATTTATATTATTGAATAATGAAACAGGTGAAAATTTTATTTTCGTCAAACGAAATTTTTTGATCTATGATAATTATTTGTGTCGCTATTGGCCTTCTGTTATAAAGAAAACAGTGATGAATAATTTAAATATTGAATAATATCTTAAAAAGATATTATTTTATGATTGGTCGCTATTTAGAAGATTTCATTATTTGTTTTCTATTGACAAATATGATGCAAAAAATAAAATCAATATTGCATTTCATGTTCGATCGGTTCGACTGTTTATTTAAGGGGAATTCCCCGCTTCCTCGAGTCCAAAGAATTCACTTTTTTCGGTTTCTATTTTTTTCCGTATTTAAAAAGATGGTACATCCTTCTAGCCACTTTGCAAGTGCATTAATTGATAGTTATGTATGAAAAAATAAAAAACAAACGAAATATTGAAAATATGGCGCTTTACTTTATTTCGCGTTTTTCTCAAAATCAACTTTATTAGAGAAAAATTCAATTGTTCCCTTCTTTTCTCCTAAACGCTTCGACCGATTGAGCTGAAAGTTTTTGTATGACAACTAGGATCAAATCGGAGCGTATATATTTTTCGTTTTTCTCAAAATCATGTTCTGGTAGTTTTTGACAGATCTTACAAAATATGCGCTATAGAAAAAAAAACATTTTTTTTGTCAGAGCTTCCAGTATTTCAGTCCTCCTAAACGAAGGAAATAATATTTTTCAAAGAAAAAACGTATGTCTACACCCCGATTTGATCCAAGTTGCTACAGAAAAAATTCAGCCGTAAAAAATGAATTCGAGTTGTTTACGAAGGGAAAAAAATTCAGATCATTTTGAGCTCCTGTATCTCCTATATCTCATAGAAGGAAGCATTTAAGAATTCTGAGCCTATGACAATTTTTATTTTACTCATTGAGATCTATCTACCTTCAAATTTTCATAAGGTTTGGTCGTGCTATTCTTGAGAAACCTGAAAAAGAAGGAGGTGCCTTTAAGTCATATTCTCGATTTCAAAAACGAATAAAAATAAAAATGACTAACTTGTCAAACAAAAATCACTGAAGTACACTACATAAACCTCATATAGGGCATAAAATAGCAACAAATTATATGGAATTAGTAAGCATCTTTTTATTACCTATAAACATAAGTGTGTTAATCTTAATCATTATGCTTTGAACAATTTTCATTTTTCTCAATGACACATGAATAATCTTTGAATGAGATAACATTATTTTTTGTTTTGTTTTAATGCTTCGTATTCAGCAGATGAACATCTTATATCCAAGTAATTTTTTTCGCTTAGAATCATCTATATCGAAACTAAATAATTTAAATTCATCTATATTTCTTACATATTATGATTATGCTATGGAAATATTGTAGTCATCATTTTGAATCCTTCGAAATCTTTTGGTCTGATCAAATATTTCAAAAGAAAATTTCATTTTATACATATGTCTATCAGAATTAGAATCGATTAATATTATTATAGATGTATTCAATGATCTTATTAATATAATCGCCTCTTTTTTTTCATTTGTATTATAAGATTTGTATAATTTATCTATTTATTTGCATATATGTGAATGAATGAATGTCAATTATTACAAAAGCCTAGAGAAATCGTTTGCATGAAATATTCATTATACGATTAGCTTGCAAATAAAATTCTATTAAATTTTACAGTCATTTTTAAAAAAGACATATTGTCACACATCAATATGAAAATTCAATGAAACTTTTTCTTAACTTGATTCGATTTCATATTACTTGTTTGTTTGTTTTTTACGATACACATTTTTCATATCATATTAATGAGTTACAATAATATATCGAAGTATAATTTACAAAAATAACTAATTCCATCATTTATTCCAAGGTCAATCTGAACTAAAATGATCATTTTAGAAATATCAATCATGGGTAATAGATTCTTTTTACTAATGCGAAATCATTTGATTGCTAATAATATTTTGACAGGCAAATTAAATTTCTTTTTACAAAAAACGAAAACAATTGATTATTTTTAATCAGATTCGATGATTCAACAAATATGATAGACATTGATTATATCTATGAGGTATTTGCATTATTCAAGGACAAATTATTTTTCTCAATTGTCAATGAGTAGAGATTATGAGTGTTTTACTCAACGATTAAATCGAGAGTTCTATTATTCAACAAAAATCTACAAATAAGAAAAAACAAGTATCAAATATGTAAATACAATATATCGATAGAATCTAGAAATATTCATTAAATTTAATTACATTCAAAACAAATATTAAAATAAAGAAAATTTTATTCAATCAAATTCTATATCAAAATATGCGATTTTTCTGTCAATCTAATTAATAAGAATTATTTTCAACATTATTACTACATGATAATTAATGTTGAATGATGTCTATAAGAATTACAATCTATTTTCCAACTCCTAGACGTCACACAGATGTTAAATGATCAATACGACAAAACAATAATAATGTATTTAATAATAATTGATTTACATTTCCACTATCATTTCAATTAAGTGCAACTATAGCTTATGAATCATTAGAAAATGAACTTGTTCATAGTTTAAATTCGAGTACTATAGTGAGACATTGACTTCTACGTATATTTGGAACAGTTCCATCAATCGAATTTTATATCCTTGTTTGATTATCTTGTTTATTACATGAAAATACATCTACATTTGAATCATCAAAATTATACACATCTAAACTAGACAATCAATTTCATTCTCGATGATAAAAATGTTAGTTAAAAGGTACCATTGTTTATCTATTTCAGAAATAAGTCTTTGATCCTATGTATCAATTGTCCATTGTTGATTTTTTTCCTTGGTATTGTGTATGCGAATTATCAGTATGACATTCATTTTACAAGATATCAGCTATTTAGCTACCGATTGATAATAATTATTTACTGATCGTTGATTCAATGAATCGATCTTAAAGATTATATGTCCATTTCAAAAGTTTTGATTTAATATTTGATGTAAATGATGAACAATTACTTCACTTGATATATTACATAATTGTCATGATGCAAAAACAACTTTATTTCGATGAACATCTAATGGATCTTGATTGATAGGATTTATAAGAATCTATAGAATAGCTGTACTCATTTTACGAACATCACATCCAATGAGAAATGGTACTTTGCTACTGTGATTCTAAATATATAGAAAAGATATGACGTAAAATTTAGAAAATGAATGATAATTGTACAATATCAATATTATTTAACATTGATTTCTAGTTGTCTTCGATATCTTTTGTTGTTCTTCAACTATTATCAATATTTGCTGCTTACAATGCTAGTTTATCAACGCCCTACTGTTTACACAATAGTATATAGCATAAAATAAGAAAAAAATCATAAATTTGTGAATATATCATACAAGGAGAAGAAGATAGATCTTTCACTATCATTTAATATATTTTGTATAACAGAATATCTTACTTCTGGGACTGTTCTATCAGAATAAAAATTATCATATTTCAAATAATCGACATCCCATGAAGCGTATCTATTGTCTCATAGTATAGGAAACTAGGTCAACTAGGACATGCTTTGAATTCAGCATCTAGTATATAAAAGAAAATAATGTAATTATATTTTCATATATAAACATCGTACTCTGGTAATGTTACTCGAATAGAGACCGAATTTAAGTTTTCTTCGATGAAGATAATCAACTAAAGTTGGCATATTATTTGAAAAAAACTTTTGAATCAGCTTGAATAGTACCTTGAGAATCTTGATTGACTTGTCAGCAACCTTCCCGATTGACTATAGACTTAATATAAAAATAAATACAAGTGTGTTAAATTACAAAGAATTAATAAAAAAAAGTAGATCACTCTAACATTCAACTGCAGGAACTCCATTAGCTACAATTATATCTTCTATTTGTTAAATCATTGATATTACAATAAAAATTACTTCAACCATTTCATTCTATAATAAAATCATTGGTTTTTTTTAAATGTATTCGTAACGCTCGAAATCATTTTCCCAGGGCAAAAAGAAAAAAGTGCAGAGCATTGACGTGTATTATTTTAATGAAGTTGAAATAATGTTTTATTCATGATTGCTTTAGTTAAATAAATTATTATTACCATGACAACCATTTAAGACATTCTCGACACGATGATTTAGAGAAGAAAGAAATGAAAAATTTCTAGGTTATCATCTGTTCTTCACATAGATATCATAATTATAAAGATATTTTGTCAAAAGAGTATTGATGTTTTATGTTTAACTCTTTTTTTTTTGTAAACTATTTTGTCCTCTTTTATCTTTATATCTACACTGTTATCGATATCAAAATATACATATGTATATTTACATTTACTAATGAATATTTATTCTTTCCTCGCTCAAATATTTGACGTCATATAGAAGAAAATCCTGATAATAACTAACGTATATTTTTATCATTTGGATATAGTTTAAAAAGCTATTTAGGATACTTATTATAATAAATATGCTTTCAACAGACTATTAGAAAACAGTGCTTCCTTATGTCAACTATCATTGATTACATCTAACTTCGCTTGTATGACTAATTTTATGTTATTCTGCAAAGGAAATAATTTGCAACCATTACAAGAAATCTCAACAGACATTAAAAAAAATATGAGGAATATTAATATTTTATGAGCAGAGAAGGCCATGTATGAGTAGATTACGGAATATATTATTGTTAATGATCTATTATACGTAAAATTTCTTTATATATTAAATATTTAATGTTTATAGCTAGCTGTCAAGTTAATATCAATTATCATATATCACTATTCTGTTTCAATATATTTTTTTTTGTATGAAAAATTTGATTTTTTTTTTTCTGTCCTTTGATATATATTAATTGAACTCGAATCTATTCACCGTTCATTTTAAAAATCACAATAGCAAAATAAATAAATAAATAAATTCATGATAATTATATAGAAAAAAACAACAACACGATGATTATTAAAGTTTTTTGATGTTTTTATTATATAGGAGACTTTGATTATTATTGTTATATTCTTTTTTTCTTCTTTAAACATAAACTAAAGTACCATTTGGTACAGTTAATGAAGTTCGACTTCCACGTAATGGCATCATTTCATTAATACTATTATTCATATACGTAATGTCTTGTGATTGTTGGAAAGTTTTTTGTTGTACACAAGTTAAATTTGAATCACGATTTTTTGTAGGTATTCTAGATGTTGATGATAGACGATTAGTACGACATTTTGTTGCAAAATCAGTTGTTTGATAACTTTGACGATTATTTCGTGCTCTTCTAAATAGAATATTATGCAATTTTTTACAACGTATTGCAAGAAGAAAATGATGACGAAAATATGATGATGTTAATACATAAAAATAAAATGATAATGAATAATTTAAATAAAAAACTTTATTTGCTATTATCCATGCTATTGATATATATTCATCGAATTTTCCATCATGTTCAATAGTACGTGTAAAACGATATATACATTCAACTGATAAAACAGGTACGCTAGCAATAAGAAATGTTATAAGATCAGCAAGTAGAACAATACTTAAACGTGCATTCCGACTGGCTCGTTTTCGACGACGTGTACGCATCACTTGTTTTTTAACACGTCTAATGTTGGCTAATATGAATATATTAGCGATAAATACAATACAAAATGGTATTATCAAACTTAAAAATAAGTCAATTATTGGACTGACATTTTTATAAAAAAACAAATATAATGGAGATTTTGTTAATGGACCGCAAGCAGTTATACATGGTTGTGATGGTGAGAAACCAACACCAATACCAAATAACAAATGTAAATTAATAAACACAATTATACTTAAAAGACATAATGTACTCCATAGAGCGGATCGTGATGTTTGAAAACATTGATCATTACGTGGATAACGTGATAAAACAAGACGATTACATGCAACAAAAACTAATAACCATGGTGTTAATTCATCGAATATTTTTGTTAAAAATAAATGTAATCCACAAAGAAAACTTGAATTAAGATGATGTATCATATTTAATTGTTTAAAAAAATATGGTCGAGACATAATTAATAATGCAATAGTGTCGCATATTGCAAGTAATAATAAATAACAACCACAGGAAAGTATACGTAATTTACGTTGAGAAAATGTAAGCACTGAAAGACCATTACCAATAATACCTAGAGAGAAAAAAAACACACACGCACACACATTCTTAATTCAATCCGAACAAAAATAACACCATATTTTTCATTCTATTTTGATTGCTTATTTACCTAGTATCACCAAATATGGTACAACAACATTAATTCGGTCTTCAATTTCATCCAAATATGATTGTGTTTGATTTTCACAAACACTTTCAATCGATGTTGATAAAGTTGTTGTTATTAAATCAATTTGTGTGTCTAAACGAAAACAAAAAAAAATTAAATCGTATATTTTCAGCAAATGAAAGTAAAAGAAATTTTTTCTTTTTTGTTTCGTCTTGAAATCATTTATTAAACAAGAATTTGAATAATTCTTACACTTTTGATAGATGATTTTATGTGTTGTGGCCGTTGACATTGATAAAAACAATAATATCTCAAAAAAAAAAAAAAAAAAAAATAATAAAAAATGATCTCTTTTATAACATACAAAATGTTTTCAAAAAGCAAATATTCTCTCTTTTATATATATTTTTCTCTTCTTTTAATTAACAGTCAAGAGCACATGATAGAAAGAGAAGAGACAATACGATAAAAAATATATAAACAAAGATGAATTTCTTGAAGTCTTCTTGCTTTATTGTTCGTGCTAGAACGTATTTGTTATCCCATGAAATATGATTATCTATGCATGACATATTCTGAGCGAGACATTGTGAAGAAGGAAAAAAAACCGGAGAGATAAAAGAAGAAGAAAAGAGAAAAGAGACTAATACAAATGCAGAGTATGGACAATCAATAGAGAAAATTATAACAATGGTGATATAGGGACAACATGAGGCTCTTATTATGACTAGATGACAAAATTATTTTTCTGGACTAGAATGAATAACAAGAGATGTAAAACGCCAAAAGCTATTTATACTCCCGCACTTGCTAATCACTCGTAACTGGAACAAATAAAGCAAAGAGAATGACTCCGCATTTTCCAATCTGTTATTTAAGTGGTACCATTCAATCATCAATGTTAGCGAGTTTTTCTTCCAGAAGGATGCTCTTAATTAGCTTAGTTCAAAATTCGCTTATAAATTATGAATAAGCATTTAGGTCACTTATTATAATTACTATGGAATATGTATATTTGATAGTTCAAAATATTATCTATATTAAATTATCTAGTAATTAATTAACAGATAGAAAAAAATATTAACAGAACGTAAACAAAAGAAAAGTACACTATTTCATAACTATAGAATGTTTTCTTCTTATCGATTCTGGTTCTTAAATATAATATGGAGTCATATTCTAATTGAATTTAGCATCAAAACCGCGACATTTGGGAACAATAGCAAAAACAAGGCTTTAGCCTCTACATAAAAATAACAATATTTTTTGTCTCCTGAGATAGACTATGTTCTTCTGTCTAGTATAAATTAAATGTTTTTTTTTTTCGCATAAAAAAATATATTATTATCCGTCGAGATAATATATCTAGATAAAACTTTTGTAGAAATCCTACGTAGTTATACATATATTGAAAAACTCAATTGTGAATAATACTGTTCATAGTCAAAAGATTTCTATTGCAATAACATACATATTAGCTATTTTCTTCTAATCGGATAAAACATACTATTAATCAAAAAATTGTATTAGAAATAATTCAAGGCTACACTAATTATACTTTTGTTTTTAAAGATACTAATCATTACAATATTTATGAAAGCAAATGTCTGTTATGTCTAATTTGCTTTTTCTTATATAGTATATCTCCTGAGAATGGAATATTAATAAAATATCATTAATAGCAACATTGTCTATTGGGTATATACTGACTAGATTGAAAATTCATATACTCAAAGTAGACTACAGCAGTTTTGTTCATCATTAATGAAGCAAATTCAAACAAATAATAGTTGAAAAAAAAAAAAAAGAAAAATGATAACATACTATATTTTCAACATCAACTATTAATGTAATCTCGATAGCTACTAACAACGGATTAAAGTTTATGTAATTTCATGAAAGATGCTTATCTAAAATCTAATTTTACTTACTAAAATTAAAATTTATTATAGTTAAATTACGTTGATACTATATCTTACATATTGTTATCATATATATTTTCATTGAATCATTCCTTATAAAATACTAATATATAAAAACTTGTCAAAATAAAAATAAATAAACGTAAATACTACATATAAGGAAAAGTATATTTTCCTGTTTGATTATTTAATAAGCAAAAAAGATAAAAATTTTCTTAAATAAAAGCCAAATGGTAACATGTCTTAGGAGTCCTACGTTATAACGTCCTTGAATAAAAAAAAATATATTTTTTATAATGAGAACAAGATGAAAAAAAAAAGAAGTGGTCTGATTATATTCTCTTTTAAATAAAAAATTGTATGCATATATGAAAGACTGAGTTTAGATGAGTGCTCTAGAAATTCTTTTCGACATCAATAAGAAAATAATCTTATCTCTAAAAATAGAGTAAATCAACCAAAACTCTTTTGATGAATGGCAAGCATCCTATAAAATTATACTTTTTTTTATTAGGAATAATATTTAATAATGGATAATAAACATATCGAAGAAATTCTATACATTTCAGTAATTTATTTTTAAATGGTTATAGAAGAAAGTTGAAAAATGACTAAATTAAAGAAAATGTCATTTTTTTTTCCTATTAGAAACAAAAAAGAAAATTTGTTTTCAATTTGACATTTATTTAAGTGGACTCTATTGAAAATTTGCTCATCAAAGGTTCAATGATAATTTTGTGTAAGTAATTTTATTTTATGCATCATAAATATAAAAGAATATAAAAGAAAACGAGGATTAATGAAGAAATTCTAGGGAAAAAAAATTCTTTATAAAAAATATTGTTCTATTATGTTTTTCAGTCTTATTGCTATCTTGTAGATTCGTTCTATTCGGACAATATTTTATTCAAGGTTTAAAATAAAAATAAAAATTTCATGACAGCAGTCATTAACCTACTTAGTCACGACAGTATTTGTTAACATTTATACTTAAATTTACGTCCAATCTTAGATTGAACGGATCGGAGTACGTACACGATATATATATATATAAAGTAGAAATTAGAAATGGAGAGAAAGCGAGAGAGAAGAAAAAGAGAAAAAAGCAAAATGAACAGTATAATAAAAAAAATTTTGTTATTATTAATTTTTCCTTATCTTCTTTCTAAAATGTTATTGTACCCGTCATTTTCACTTAATGCTAAAATTAAGATGAAAGAATACCCTTTTGTCTTCACTAGATTTACAAATGCATTAATATACTACATTAAAAATATGAAGAAAATAAAAAGGAACAAAGATGGAGAAATAGTGAAAAAAAAAGAACCACAAAAAGCTTTTTCCGGAACACTGATGAATCCTTGTCAGAGCTGTAACCGGTCGAGAACGTACGAATCGATTCAAAACATTTTTCATACGGGTAAAAATCAACTAAATTTTTTAACACATTTTTAATAGTTAAACAAAGTGACTTCAGAAAGAATTTTTTTTTGTTTTTTGTTTTGCTCATATTTTTATAAATGTTCGAAAAAAAAATATCATATTATAGAAGTTGATATCTTTAGAATTTTTCGTAGATAGATATCTGATATTTGTCTGGGACAAAAAAAAAAGAGTCATTTATCTGACACCTAATTACTAAACTTCAAACTTGGAGTTTTTTTTACTCAAACTTTAAAGAGAAACATAATCTTTCTCATCGAATGATAATGCAAATGTCATTATAATTTCTAACGACACATCAATAAAATTAATTGAGAAGTTTAATTCAAATAATACAATTTTTATGTACTTTTTACGAACTAAATAAATGTGAGTGTGCGAACATAAAGAAAAACATAGTTAATAGTTTCTAAAATAACACTTTTTGATTCTTTTGATAAGACTACTTAAAATTGCTCTCGAAATGTTTTACTTGAGGAAAAAAAAGCATACCTACACGATTTTCTTCAAGTATTGAAGAATCTTCAGATCTATTACAACGCTGCTCTTTTTTGTTTTTTATTATGACAAAAAGATAAGTAGAGAAGTATAAGTTTTCATGCTAAATCCGATAATAATCAACAGCGAGCTTTAGAATTCTGAAGCACTAAACACTTCTCGGCTAGTTTATCTAGTCAATTAATCGCTTCTCTTGTTTTTTTTGTATTCTATGGTTATAAATAGTTCTTAATGCATATAGTTTGTATTATCCAAAGCGTTAAAGATAATAAGAAACGACAAGATCTCAAATGTCATTCAATATCTTGCTTGACATGCTATACTCAGGTTTATTTACTTGTTTTATCAGATTGCTTTTGCTAGGAATTCAATCATGTAGAAAATGGTGATAAAAGAACATCATTTGCATTCATAAATATAAATTTGATAGATTCTCATAATGATCAAAAATAATATTTTTTTCAAATGTGGATAGTGCACTCTATTTATTCTTAGTCGTTTTCAGATAATAAACGATTAAGGACAAAGTTATTTCTAAGAACATTATATATATATATATTAACACAAACGTTCAATCTACTAATACTATGTTTTCAATTTAGTATGATAAGCTTATAAAAGAACAAATGCATAGAAGGTTTAATAAGATGAGAAAAAAATCTATATTATTACATTCCAAGTATTTCCTGGAAAAATAATTATTGGACGAAAAAGAGAGAACATACATGTTGAGTACTCAAATCTATTGGTCTAAAGTTAACGTTATTTCTTACGTTTCATAGAATTTATTGAAAATATACATAAAAAAGAAATTGAGAAAAATAAATATTACAAAGTGTTTAGTCATCTGAAGATGATGAATGCACATCAAAACCTGCAGCAGCTTGAGCTCGTCTAAATAATAGATTATATTTTATGAATGATAATAAATATTATATTAGTAATTAGTATAGTTTACCTTTTCCTTTGTTGTCGACGTTTCTATTTTCTTTCATCCTAACTATCAATACTACTTGAAACATCCTTATTTGTTATTGGAATTGATGATGAACCACCAAAAGTTACTGCTTTTGTTGAATTTGCTATTGGTATCGAACTAGGAAGTGGTGGAGCCGATGATAAAGAAAGAGAAGCAATTGAAGGTGTTTGATACATAGCAGATGCACTGGAATTTGATAAAGGTCTAGGCACAGGTGGTGGAATTGGAGGTGATGAAATTGGAAAATTTGAAGGTTTTTGATATGAATGAGTAGATGTGGTTGTCAATAAAGATGGAGGCAATGGTGGTGCAGGAGGAATATTTGATGCATTCGTTGACGATACTGGTGAACCAGATGCAACTACATATAGAAAAGTCTTTAAATATAGAATATAAGAATTTTTAAATAGATCACATAAATGCGAAAAGTCACGACACTTGTTTAAATAT